AGTTGCACGATTTTCTTGGTCTGTTTGTAATTTATAACTCTGATTAAGAATTGTTTCTTAACAAATGAAATAAAATAAATGCCAAGGGAGAGTCTTCTCCTTTTGCTTTAGTAAATGTATCTTGGGATATAATCTCTTCAAATAATTTACAGTTTATATTTCAGCAAATATTTCCGACTGTCTGATTACTCAGAAGTGCAGAAATATGTACTGGTCATTTGCTTGTATTAGATCTGCAAGATTAGACCAAGATGATTGTAAGAACCCGATAAACCAATTCAATGGCTTCAATATGTTTTTGATGAGGAACATTTCTAAAGAAATTGAGACATTGCTTTTCCAATCAGATGATGTTTGTGTTTCTCATATGCTGATTCAGGCTGTCTGGTAACTACCACACAATAGCAGGCTGGGGAAGGGGGGTGTATCTAGCCATAGGTATATCTTACCAAAAGACTAGCTGTCATTCCAGCAAAATCTATTGCAAAGACAAATCTTCCCCACTGCCAGATGTATAAACAATATTTTTGCCACTGTGACAGCAAAGCCTTTTGGCTCGATACCATTTTAAGAACTAACAAAATAGTCAGTCCCAATTAGTATCTTAGCAACACTTTTTAAAAATTTGCTAAGCTTTCAAGAGATTTAAACATAGTTCCATTATATTGCACTAGTTTAAATAGGTTACTAGGGCATGGGTGACTGAAGATGGGCTATCTCTATTCAGGAAGGATTGTGTTTGTTCTAGAATTCTATGCTTGTGAAAATCCCTGTTCGTCACTATAGATTTCTCAGATTTTCAGGAGTGTCCTCAATCCCATAGAATCCCTGTCTGCAAATGCATTGCATCAGAGAGACTGTGATCTCATCCAAAACAGGATAGATTTGTTGTACTTCATGAACTTGGCTGAATTAAGTGTCTTTATATAGACTGTCATCTTATATTGATTATATACTGTCAACTGGTATCATGTTTTAGTGACTTCCTGAGGATGAGCTGCCTCTAACCCATCCCTTCAGCTACTTTTCACTGCTATAAATTTGGAGAATTGTTATATTGAATGATTAATTCATTTATAAAATGTAGTTGACATATCAGTACTGGTTTTGCAATGTCCTTCCTTAAAATGAAATAAATAACATTCTTCAGTGTGATCTTCTGATTGAAAAAATGTCCAGTTTAGACCATTTCAGTTCCCTGGCATCTTAAGATGTTAATGTGTAATTGATTAATTCCATCTTTCATTGTGTTGAACTTTCCCATGCTTATGCTTCTTGTGTTTAATGTTCTCAATATCTTTGCACCTTTAAATTTTCTTGTTTCTGCTCAGCAAACACTAGTAACAACATATCTGGAAAACTTTTCTCTAGCAGTGTCAAAAACACTATTAGTAAAATGTCCGAAGCTCTTTTTCAGTAGCACATTGAATACCATCCAACCTCAGTGGCCCATCATCATGTACTATATTGTCAGTCACTTTATATTTTCTGTACACATCATTTTCTTGATGAAATATAAGAGAGGTTTACTGCTGCCTTTTATAGTGCAATATGAAATTAAGTTTTGTTCTTGTCACTAACATGATCATCTATTTCCAATCCCTTCCTAGTTAGCTGCCTGCTTGTTTTAGCTAAACAGCTGAGATGACCCTCTTGCTGGGAGAATATGTTCTTGCCATACATGCCAGGTGTTCTTCATTCTCCCTGGAACACTCCCCCCACCATGATGAGGAAACATTTTGGAACTGAGAGGGAGGATCTCTTATCTGATATTGATCCCAAATATACATTGACTGAGATTGTTTATTAAACCACTAAAAGTTGGATGATTAAGGCATAAATCTTTATTCTGCATGTTAAAAAAATATAGTTGAAGTTTGTCTCCTCTTCAGTGGTGGGTTTCAAAAAAATTTGAAACCTCTTCTGTAGGTGTGGCCTGCTTTCCAGGTCCACTGGTGGAACTTCTTCTAACCGGTTCGGTAGATTTGATGAACCGGTTCTACCGAATAGGTGCGAACTGGTAGGAACCCACCTCTGCTCCTCTTGCACTCTCACATACACACACACATACACACACAGAGAGATACACTGTATTGCCAAAAGTATTTGCTCACCTGCCTTTACTCGCATATGAACTTACTGTAAGTGACATCCCATTCCTAATCCATAGGGTTCAATATGACGTCGATCCACCCTTTGCAGCTACAACAGCTTCAACTCTTATGGGAAGGCTGTCCACAAGGTTCAGGAGTGTGTTTATGGGAATTTTTGACCATTCTTCCAGAAGTGCATTTGTGAGGTCACACACTGATGTTGGGCGAGTTTACGTGGCCTACCACTTTGTGGCTGTCATTCCCAAACACTTCCACGTTCTTATAATACAGCTGACAGTGAACTGTGGAATATTTAGGAGTGATGAAATTTCATGACTGGATTTGTTGCACAGGTGGCATCCTATCACAGTTCCATGCTGGAATTCACTGAGGTCCTGAGAGCGACCCATTCATTTCACAAATGTTTTTTAAAACAGTCTGCATGCCTAGGTACTTGATTTTATACACCTGTGGCCATGGAAGTGATTAGAACACTTGATTCTGATTATTTGAATGGGTGAGCGAATACTTTTGGCAATATAGTGTAGATATGGAAAATTAAGATCTCATCTATTTCTACTGCACACTTAGGAATTTAAATTTGAATGATATCAATATGTTTGTGCTTTCATATTTGAAATAACAATGAAACCTGATACTAAATACGCGGACGATACTCAACTGTATCTGTCCGCCCCGTGCCAACTCAGCGAAGCAGTAGAAGTGATGTGCCAGTGCCTGGAGGCTGTCAGGGTCTGGAAGGGAGCGAACAAGCTTGCACTCAATCCCGACAAGACTGAGTGGCTATTAATGCTCCCTCCCAAGGATGGTCCAGTTATCCCATCTCTTAGCCTGGGGGGTGAAATTATATGCCCCTCAGAGAGGGTTCGCAATTTGGGAGTCCTCCTGGATCCGCAGCTGAAGTTAGAACATCATTTGTCGGCTGTGACCAGGGGGGCCTTTGCCCAGGTTCGCCTGGTGCACCAGTTGTGACCCTATCTGGACCGGGAGGCCCTTCGGATGGTCACTCACTCCCTCGCCACTTCAAGACTGGATTACTGTAATGCGCTCTACATGGGGCTGCCCCTGAAGAGTACTCGAAGACTGCAGTTGGTCCAGAATGCAGCCGCGCAAGCGATAATGGGTGTACCTAGATACACCCATGTTACACCTATCCTCCGTGAGCTGCACTGGCTGCCCATTGGTCTCCGGACACGCTTCAAGGTGCTAGTCGTTACTTTTAAAGCCCTACATGGTTTAGGACCTGGCTACCTGAGAGACCGCCTCCTGCCATTTACCTCCCAAAGACTGATAAGATCACAAAGATTGGGCCTCCTCCAGGTGCCATCGGCCGGTCAATGTCAGCTGGTGACCCCTCAGGGGAGGGCCTTCTCTGTTGCTGCCCCGGCCCTATGGAATGATCTCCCCATAGAGATCTGGACCCTCACTACACTTCCGGCCTTCCGTAAAGCTACTAAGACCTGGCTGTTCTGGCAGGCCTGGGGCTGTTGATTAGCATCCAGCCCCATTTTAAGTAGTATGTATGTTGTGTAATTTTAAACAACTGTATTTCTATTTTAATTTTTATATATTCCCTTGTTTTGTCTGTAAGCCGCCCTGAGTCCCTAGGGAGTGGGCGGCATACAAATGTCAATAAACTTCCAAACTTCCAAACTAAAATCCAGTTACAGTGTTGGCATTAAAGACACGGTATTTGCAGAATTACACATTGAGCTTCTGCTGCAAGACTCCATTTTGGGTCTACTGTTTTCTGTTATATAGCAGGTACATTTCCATCTACTTGGTGTTATGATAGAGGGGATGCAGTAATAGTTATAGCTAGCAAATGTTGAAAGCCATGACACAGTAGTTAAACTTATGCTACTGTTAAAATAATGCATTTGACATTCACAGCAGACTTGTCTTTTATCTGCATGCTGTGATAAAACTGGTGTCAGTTTTAAAGTAATGGTATTGAGGGCGTCATAAATTACTCTGGTGATCCTTAAGAGAAGACAGTGTCACATATAAGTAAGTGTTTTGCTTCTAGGATAATGTATGTCTTCATCTGGCCCAGCAGTCAACATATTGCCCTGTGTTGATGGATATTGTCAGCCTGAAGCTACACTACATTTCACTGCACAATAAACATGGCTGTCAACATCATATAAAGTGAAATCAATTTATCCTGTATGGTCAGTGCATTTTAAATGAAATTAATGTACTGTAGACATGCTGGCAAAAAGGTAGCATATTAGTTATGCATCCACTGTTCCACAATTTTATCCATAAAAATGAGTTGCTTGTACAGAACAATCAAAATAATTGTGTGCTTAAAGTACAGTTGATGTTTTTTTTTACAACAGTTGGCAGGGTTAGGTTTCTGTGTAATTGAAAAAAATAGATTCAAAAGTGAAGACAATATAAAACTTGTCCACACTATAAAATCAAAGGTGCTTTGTGGATTTCCACCAGTTTAGTTTTCAAGATTTCAAAGTGACGAGGATTTGTCATGCATGTGGGCAGTGATCTAAAATTATTTTATTTTATTTTTGTCTTGTCATAATTATAGTAAATGACAGTTACGTTTTGTTCCTATGATGTACTTTATGTTTATCACTATTTGCATCACTTTCTTTTTGTGGAAATGCAAAGTACATTCTTTTAAATATATTAGTCTCTCATCCCAATATTTCAGTCAAGTATCACAAACTTGTTACACCCATTGCTCAACAGAAGGATAGAAAGTATCCAAGAAACACAAAAATTGATAGCTGAATTTAATATTAATTTCATTCATCATTCTGGAAAGAGCAAGGGAGAAGGACCTATGAAATTACCCCTAATCCAGATAACATAATAATAATGTTGGCATCCATCTCCTTTCTTCCTGCTCTGGCATTACAGGAAGTAAAGCAATGAATGGCTCTGCAGCTAAACTACAGCAGTATTATTGTTGGCCAACAGGAGGTGCTACTGTGGCTGAAGCTCGAGTCTACAGAGATGCCCGGGGACGAAGCAGCAGTGAGCCGCACATCAAACGACCAATGAATGCTTTCATGGTTTGGGCAAAGGATGAACGCAGGAAAATTCTTCAAGCTTTTCCTGACATGCACAACTCCAACATTAGCAAAATTCTTGGTAAGTACTAATTCAAATGTACAAAGCATCTCAAATGGAACCGGTCCATTTCTGGGGCTAAAAGTGTTGCACAGAATCAGGACCACAAGAGAAAATACCCTTTCCGTACTTAATGCCAAGCAAATATTGGTGGGTAGTAGTGTAACTAATTATTGAAGACATCACTCAGTTATATCTCTAGGGTTTATGATTTAATATATTTTAATATTTTATTTATTTATTTATTTATTTATTAGACTTATATACCGCTTCATAGGGCTTTCAGCCCTCTCTAAGTGGTTTACAATTTTTTTTTTAGCAAATTGAGTCAGCAACTTGCCCCCACAGTCCGGGTCCTCATTTCACCCACCTCGGAAGGATGGAAGGCTGAGTCGACCTTGAGCCAGTGAGATTTGAACCGCTGACCTGCAGATCACAGTCAGCTAAAGTGGCCTGCAGTACTGCACCTAACCACTGCGCCACCTTGGCTCTATTTGTATTGCTTTGTCTTGTTTTATACTCTTGTTCAAAGTAAAATAAAAGTGCTTTTTGACAGTGGACCTATATTGATCCTTTTAGTTCTATGAGGAATCCTGAGATATGTCTTCTTTTTTTTTTTTTAAGGGGATTGTACGATCCCATCAAAAATAAGTGAATTACGCAAAGCAGAGGATTCTTCACTAACAAAATTTTGAGATTTGGAATTATTATATTGGACTCAGTATAACTCATGTTTTCTCCTTAGATGAAACAAAGCAATATACCTGGATGTCAGCAGCATTATGTTGTACAGAGATCATTAGCAGTATATTATTGTACCCATATATAAGAAATCATAGGAAAATTAGAAACATGAGCTTTCTGCAAGAGAAATTTTTTTACACTGAGACTATGTTTAAATGAAATGGGACATGGTGTCTCAGTGGCTAAGTCGCTGAGCTTGTCGATCAAAAGGTCGGCAGTTTGGCGGTTCAAATCCCTAGTCCACATAACGGGGTAAGCTCTTGTTACTTGTCCCAGCTTCTGCCAACCTAGCAGTTCATGTAAAAATGCAAGTAGAAAAATAGGGACCATCTTTGTGGGGAAGTATCAGTGTTCCATGCACCTTCGGCATTTAGTCATGCCGACCACATGACCACGGAGACGTCTTCGGACAGCGCTGACTCTATGGCTTTGAAACACAGATGAACACTGCTCCCTAGGGTCGGGAACGACTAGCACATATGTGCAAGGGGAACCTTTACCTTTACTTTATGTTTAAATGAGCATGAATACAAAGCTTTGGCAGTAATATGATAGTCAAACTGAATGATAATCATTTTTCCTAGCATCTAAACAATAAGATTAAATAAGGTTAAATAGAAATGTTTTGTAAATTCAATACTCAAGTACGTTTTACTTACATTTTTTTTATCCAGGTGTCCAATGTTAGGCTTTATCTCACAAAAAAAGTAATCTCTTGATTTTTTACAGAATTAAGATTCAAGATTTGTTTGAAACATTACAATGTCTCTAAGGTTGACTGGGAAGGGAAATGGATATTTTCCCACCAAGTCTTTAAATTAAGATTGTAAATGAAGATTGCACATTTTAACTAATGGACAAACAATTACCGTCTGAATTGAATTTATTTTGCATTATTACACATTTTAACAAAGCTACTTTTCTTACAGGCTTTTTTCTTTCTTTAAGAGATATTCAAAAAGCCCTCTAGAAATAAGAGTAACTCTGTTCTAAAAAATGTGGTGTTTTTCATAGAAGTGCTTATGTTTGTCTACTGTTTTTAGTATGTTGTATGAATAGTCTTTCAGTTTTCTATAAAACGTGTACTGTTTTAGTTTTGGCAACTATATATGGAGTCCACATTATTTGTGTGCATTCTTTAAAGAAAAAAAACACCTGTTACAAGTATAGTAAGAGTATTCATTGAAATGTAAACATTCAGTATAAATATTTCAGAAGTGCCAGCAATCATTTTTTAAAGAAGATATAACGTGCCAGGAATTACCTTGCCACCACTAGAGAAAGAAGAAAAGAAAGTGAGAAAGAAAATGTGACAATTTACATATAATATTGGTACACATTTTCCAGGACAATGATAAAAAATGTTGGAAATATTAAAATATTAAAAGTGATTGTTTTGTGTTGCTGACTGGATAATATCTATACAATTTTTTTCCATTTGTTGAAGTATAAAAGCTTTTAGTAAAATAATAGCTTTTACCTAGGTTGACCACAGCTGTAATCATTTTTAACTATCTGAAAGTTTTTTTCCTTAAAAAAAATCTCTGCTATTTAAGTAATCCTGTATAAGCAACAAGCTCTATTTCACCCTTTAATGTTAGGTATTATTTTATTAGTGTAGTTTGATTATTTTTTATAGAAATTTAAACTAGTAAAGATATTGCGCGTGTACGCTCCATGGAAATTTTAATTATATACCCTTAATCTAAAGTATAATTTATATATATTCAGTGACCCCTCATTATAAGACAGACAGATAGATAGACAGAGAGGGTCACTGAATCAGTAACAAAGTTAAATCAAAGCCAAGATGATGAGAGGATCATCTCTAAAAGCAATTTGCTTATTCTTAAATTATGACATTTAATATATTTATACTTTCAAAATATGTATTAAGAAGCTGTGGATTGATTTCAAGATCAACCAAGTAATTAAATCAGATATTTTTAGTACAGTGAAGGGCTTAGGTATGTTTACTGAGATTTTTAAAAAGTGATATGCTTTTTTCCACTTATCCTATAAGCCTTCCATTTCAAAAAAGAGTTAAATGTCACTTTAGGTATAAAATATATTTGCAATGTAGAACTGAAGAATAATGTTAGTAGAAAAAAGCCTCAGATCCAATATGATGGGTGGTATTAGTTATGCAGCCTTTAAAAAATTCTTGGTACTATTTCTTAATAAATTAATAATTGAGTAGTATAAATAATAGTAATTTGATCTGTGTCTCAAGGATATACCCAGAATTTCCTGATAGTTAGCATGCAGAAATTTTTATCATATTTAACATAACTTTGGTGAGTTCTTTATTTTATCTACACAGAAATTAAATATTTCATTTCAATTTTTGTAATCTATTTTTTTTATGATGCCAGTTTAGTTACTAATTAGATTGTTCTGTTAGTAAGCCACTTTGGTATCTTTAAATGTATGAAGGAATGATCAACAATGTGGATCTTTTTGACTCTTATGAAGACTGCTTTATACAAGGACAAAGGTTCTTAAATATGTCATAAAGTTACTTGAAATGGTTTATATCCTCTTCACATATTCTGAAACTTAATTATCACAATATGCCATTCACTCCATATTTTCATTTTTATCACTTGCGTCATGTTGAGGTTGAGGTTGAAACTCTGAAGGAGAAGGTTTCATCTATTCTGTAAGTAGAGGTACAGGGTAACCCCTATTACAAGAAGTTTCTGGCTCTTAATATTTTGCCCTGCTGATAAGGACAATATTTTGCCCTGCTGATAAGGACAATGAGGTTTGAGAGGGAGACAGCTAATATCCTTAATTTTTCTCTCCCAACTTGTGTGATGTATAAGAAAGGTTGGAAACATTTGAGAACAACATATGAAATTAGTTTGATTTGACTTGGCTGACGTGTTAAAATGAATTATGTATTACGACTGAGTACAAGCTTGGAGAATCTTTGGCCTTTCTGATATTGTTGGACTAACTTCAGTAAGACTGATTCATAACGGTTAATGGTTAATGGTCAGAAATTGTTGGAATTATAAGATAGCCAGATTCCTACCTCCTGTTTAGAGGTTTATTAGCCTCCAAATGAATAGATTCAACAATTCAGTGATATTTATATATATATATATATATATTTCTATGCAGGTTCCCGCTGGAAATCCATGTCCAACCAAGAGAAACAACCTTATTATGAAGAGCAAGCACGCTTAAGTAAAATCCACCTAGAAAAATACCCTAATTACAAATATAAACCCAGACCAAAACGCACTTGCATTGTTGATGGCAAAAAACTGCGCATTGGAGAATATAAACAACTAATGAGATCTCGACGACAGGAGATGAGGCAATTTTTTACCGTAGGGTAGGTATTAGGAGTTTTTCCCCTCCTTTTTTCCAGTTAAATAATCTAAATGTATGAATTTCATTTCTTCCCAACAGTTATCCCATTCCTATTTAGGGTTGAGACTTAACCTTAAATTAAGATTAGCCTATGAGTAAACATTTCTCCCCCCAACTCCGTTGTAGTGATATTAACAATTGATGATAATCTGAATCCCCCCTATGCATTAGCTGGGATTCAATTTTATCTAATTAAAAGTTCCTGAAATCTGCAGATCATCAAATCAAAATATGTAAAATCTGTACATTTCAGAACCATTCACATATAATTACAATTGTTTACAAAAATGTTCACTGAAAAAAACTGCATAATGGAACTAGAAAAAGAAATGTGCACTAAATGAATATGAATCTTTGTAAAGAGAAATCAAAACATTAAAGCAGATATAGGAATGGATTGAATTTGTAGATTACTGTCTGTATTTTAAGCAACAATAATGTTGCTTAACAAATCTCCCTTGGAAAAAATACCAAACAATATGCGTTAATTAAAATAGCTAGAATTAAATTCTGACAGGTTAACTTTTTTTCCACTCACTTGAGAGTTCTTCCACTGGCATATACACAATTGCAAATAATAATACTAAAATGGATTATTTTTATTGTAACAATAGATTCCAGAGCAAATTTTTGGACTCTAAATATTGAATGGAAATCTCATATCAGATGTCTAGGAAACTAGATCATTGATTTTGACTATTTATGGCTTAGCACTCTGGAGGTTAAACTTTTAATTTTTGGAAATATGATTAGGATTAGAATATAATCCTCATTTAAAAGAGTAAGGCAATCTGACAGGGACAGATGGCTCACTTTGCAGCAAGAAAATAAGGCTTATGATACTCAAATATGTGAGTTACATATTCAGTTAAGAATTTGGTTTATCATATCATTATTGAGCAGTTAAAATAAACACGTTGAGAAGTTGGAGATGAGGTGTCCTCATTATCCAGGACCCTGTTTTATTCAGATTCTGGATCAGGGGAGGGGTCCTACCGGTTTTATAAATAAATAAATAATATTGATAAGTAAGTCTGTGTCAATTAAATTGTTCAATATGTTTAAAAATAAAAAGTTTAAATCATACTGCTGCATACTTTGTTAAATTGTTAGGGAGCACTTTTGAAACGTACCTTTGTTTCCTTGTAGGCAACAGCCTCAGATTCCAATTGCCACAGGAACAGGAGTGGTCTATCCTGGTGCTATTACTATGGCAACAACTACACCATCACCTCAGATGACATCTGATTGCTCCAGCACTTCTGCTAGTCCTGAGCCCAGCACCCCTGTCATTCAGAGCACTTACAGCATGAAGACGGACAGTGGGAGCCTGGTTGGAAATGAAATGATAAATGGGGAAGATGAGATGGAAATGTACGAAGACTTTGAGGATGACCCCAAATCAGACTATAGCAGTGAAAACGAAGCCCACGAGGCTGTCGCTGCCAACTGAGGATGTTTGCTGAATTACTCTGACTTTGTTTTGTTTTCTTTTGAACAAAAAGTTCTTAAAATGAGCCTGCATGCATGTATGGCTCCTACAGTTACATCTGCAGAATGGTCTTAAATGTTTCTTATTGTGTGACACAGATTGTTCCCTAATTTTCATGAACTTTTTTAAACAATTTAGGTGAAGACATTAAGTATCAGACATTGAGACTTGAAAACTGATATGAATCAATTGTTCTCTTACAAGTCTTATCTCTCTTTTTTTGTCTATTCTTTCCTCTTCCTGGATACTGACAAAAAGGTTTAAGTTACTGTTTTAATGGGGGTTTTACATTCTCACTCAGGTATGCTGTGCCAGCCTACAGATTGTGAATGTGTTTTTATTCTGAATTATTTTGAAAAACAAAACAAAAAAACTTACAAATTTCCTATCATGAAACAGAACAAGTCCTAAGCGTGTACATCTATCTGTATTAGCTCATCCTTTTAAAAATAAGGTCTCTAAATTCCTCCCCCCCTCCTTATATATAGCTGACCTTCTGATGTGCCAAACTTTCCTAACTTCTGAATCTTAATATTTAAAAAAAAGTCTTAAGGGAGACACTGTAAAGTCTTAGACAATCCTTTGGCATCTTAAAAATACTGCTATATCTTAAAAGAAAATCCTACTTTTTCCAGAAAATTGTAAAATACTCAGGAATCTGGAGACAGGATATTGCTTAAAAAGTGAATATGATTGCTACAATGCACTTGTTCAATTGCTTCTGCCTCTTGATGTACCATCAGTGTGAAACATGAGTAAGCACAACAGAGTGATCACCAGCTAAGACAGGCTTGTCTTAGCAACATAAGGCCACCTTCAAGTCATTCTCTGTCCCTTTGCTTTGAATTCTTATATTCAGTCTTAATTACATTTGGTCTTAATGTATTCATTCCAGAATGTCAGGGGGCCATGTAGTAAAAACATATTTTCAAGGGTACTGTTGTAATGGCATTATCATTTGTTTGCCTTTTATTTCTTTTAAAGAGCCTTTTCCCCTTAAAGTGTGTGGTATCTTAAAAATAATGAGGCACTTAATATTGGAAAGGAATAACTCTCTATTTCTCTCTGTGTGTCTCTCTCACACACATGAGGAAATGTGTTTCTACATGTCAGAAACACTTGGAAAAATGTTATTATTAGTAGAACAGTATCATATACAGGAGAGTGTACAATATTTACCCACTATGCTGTTTCTTTTTAGGATAATTTGTGAGGCTTCCCTATAGTACTGCTGTTTTCTAATTTTGAGTTATTGTATGTTGTCAGACAACACTTCATATATTCCCCACCTACTATGCCCAGCGCTAGGCATAATAAAAGTTGTAGCCTAACACAGTATTGGGTGCAAGGCTTAAAACTACTTCTGTTAAATTCATGTATTAGATTATCTTAACCTTTGTCTAGTGCATAGACAGCCTAGAAATACAACATAGTCTTCCTCTTTCGTGGAGAGTAAAGTGCTGCCACTGTTTAGAAATCTTCCTATTGCTGTTCCAATAATCATCCTTTGATGATATTATAGAAATTTTAAATCTTGCAGATAATCTGTGTTGAATATTAATTCTAGAGGACTGAAAAGGATGCAAAGATCATCCTTGTACTTATAATTTCACTTTACTCATTTAGATGCATATGCTCAGCAGTATTTGAAAATTTTCAAAACTTTGTTATCTGCCATATAAGAAAAAAAACAAAATGAAAGAACATAAAGCTAACCCCAAGGTCAGTATTTGTGAATTATGCCAGGTCCTTTAGATCAAAACTGCTGTAGAAATTTAAATTCTTATTTATTTCAGTGCTAATATATAGTTTTATTATACATAATATTGATTTCTAAGGAGCCAAGGGCAAGGTAAAATAAAGCATTCCCAAATTAAACATCCAGCTATTTGTGGATGTCAGTATTTAACACTGAAATTTGAAATTGATGCATTTAATGTATTTCAAAGTATAAAACCTGGTTAGTGACTTATAAGCTCTTTTAAGAGTTTTCACCAACTCCTAAGGTAGAAGGCATTAATAGTCTTTGATTTGAAAATATAAATGTGTTCTTCTTTATATCTTACTATCAATAGTTACAACTATTTCTAACTGCTACATATACCAGAAAAATTGCAGTTTTATATGCCTTCTAAGTAAAACCAGTTTCACGTAAACATTTTATGGTATGGCAGGGTAAATTTTTCCATGCCAATCAGATTGTCAGTGTGAATGTTTAATGGTGATTAAGAAAATATATCAGGTATTAATCCAAATGGAGCAGCTGCCTCTCCATTGCCCTTCCAAGTAGTATGTTTTATCCAAACCATTTAATTATAAGAGGGTGAATTGTGTCAAGAGTTCTGCCTTCTACAAACATGCCATTCTTAAGACTGGAGGAAGATTCTTATTAGCTTGCTCAGGGGATAAGAGTGCCAGGTTTTTCAATAGCATTTTAGCACTTTGTAGGATGGCAAAGATGATAAACCACCAAGTAATAAATCTATGAAATATGACCTAGGTTCTTCTACACTTAAACGATTGCAATCATATCTTTGTGCCTAGAGCTTCCATTACCGAGAATGGCAGATGAGGCACCCTCTTTCTGTTTGCAATGGGAAGTTTACATAGAGAGACTTGGTCTTTTGATAGAGGCCATTGTATCTTTTTGCTTAGTTCTTTTCAGAGGGTTTTAGACTTCAATAATTAGCAACATTAATGGAATGTCAAACCAGATTATCATCATGCTGTCACAAATCTTGTAGTTTTAGCAGAAAAAGAAAAATATGACCTAGCAGTTTCCAGTAATTATTTTGAGAAGTGGAGGCAGTTCTGCAATTTTACAATAGGAGTGTTTAATCCATGCAGCAAGCCGGCTGATTATTTGTGCGTGTGTGTGTGCGTGTGCGTGTGGATGCATACACACACAGTCATTGGCAGCCATTCTACAATCTAGAATAGAATCATTTATCTTTTCTATTTATTTGAATGAATGCTTCTCTCATATCCCACAGTTATGACAGTAAAACTGGTCTAGCCAAGATGTAAAGGCACTTGTTATCATTAGCTGGTGAGAGTCCTCTTTATCTAGTTAAGGTACTGAAATAAAATCCTTTGTTGTCTCTGAGATTACTTAAGAATTTGAACTGATCTAATAGATGTAGCTTGGATGGGAGATAACCCATTATTTCCTAAAGAATGACTATTTATTAATTTCCTACAAGTTTCTCCTGTTATAAATCTCTCTCCATTCTACATGTCTGGGGTTGTGGGTTTTTTTCTTTTCTTTTCCATAGCCAGAATGCTGTATTGCTAGCATTGTATGTTTTGTAATTATTTTTGCACAAGGGCAAACATTTAGTTTTGTGAGTTATTTTCTTTTTATAATTCTATGACCATGCCAAAATAATATTCTGCAGGCTGGCAGAGAACAAAGGACTGTTCTTTAGGGCTGAAACTTGATTTTACTCATACTACAAAAACACACACTCACAGATGTTGTTTCGTAAGTGTAATAAGCACTGGATATAAATGGTATTTTTTATCACTTCTAACTAATGTGAAACTGTTGTACAAAAAAAAAAAAACGACAAGAACAAAAGTCATCTGTTTCGACTCGTGTGGGCCTGCCTCACAGTTGCCGGATTTGAGTCATTTTTTTATGTCTTGTTATTTCATTTATTTATGCAAGATTCTTATATGTATGAATACTTTGTTTGAGCTCCAGTCCTCCATCTGTGTTGATGATCTGTAACTTAAATCTGTGTTCTTGACATTGATTGGCTCTTCACGAATCAGCAGATGGTAGAATATGACTTATTGGACAGGTTTTGAATTTAAAATCTGCAGAATCAGTTTATGACATTTATTAGCCGATGCTGGCTCTAAAATATCAATAGAAATCAAGGAAGGACAATCATTGGGAAGCAAAAATACCTTTTTTTCTTTTTTAAAAAATTCATCATTGGAGCTCAAAACAAGGTTCTTTAGTAGTCACCATCTCATTTAAGATTTTTTTTAAAAAAAAATTGTAAATATAACATAGGAGATAGAATTTTATTTTTTGTTCATGGATACTTAGCTATATATAAGTTATGTATTTACTTTTGTTCTGTATCAGTGTACATTGGTCCATATTAAATGCTGACAAATTCACTGTACCTCATGTAGATTTTACGCCTGCAGTGTGGCAGCAGTACTGTGGACCTGTAGCTAAGCTGGCGAGTTGCCTCCCTTGTGCCCTCCTTCAATCTGAATCCCATATAATAAACACAAAATACTTCAAACATTGCACCTGCTTATAAAATAACAATCTCATATTTACTCTGTAGTAGTGGCATTATAGTTTGGGAGAACAGTAAAACATTTGTCCAAGAATTATAGCATAGCCAGTTGCTTCTTAGTATTTCTTCATTAGCAAATAAGTGCATAGGACATGAAGTACAAACCATACCTTTTGGGCATTCTAGCAATCTGTGAGTCTAGTTCAGGTGACAAAAGTGATGATTTCTTATATCCTTGTTTAGCTCTGCAGAACAAGGTAAACTTTAGGTCTCATTTATTTCAATTAAAGTAAAGTATCTTGATCAGGTATATGATCTCACAATTCTTTGACATCTTTGTCAAGATAGTCTGAGTAGGATTCAATTAAGTATTGCCTCCCCCTCCAATTTAATGGAGGTTATATTTAAACCAACTTTAAAAACAGATTGTAAAGGAGACAGTTTTCATGTAATTTGCTTCAAGCAAACCTGATAGCCATTCTTGGTTTTTTTTTTGTTTTGAAAGCAACCAATATGTCTTAGAAAAGTTGTCAATAGGAAGGCAAATAAATAAGAAAGCAAATAAATAATCAAGTGTGTTTGAGGAGTTAGCCATTAATCCAGCCTTTTAAAGTAAGTAGTACCAGTTGTTAATATAACATAGATTTTTTTTTAAAAAAAAATCTGTGTTTCGTGTGAAACAGTATTGGCTTGTCAAAATAGAACTGTAGCATTTATAATTCATTAAACTATAAAAGGGCAGTAATAATTTTCTATTGTCCAAGATAATGCTTATTTAAAATGAATGTGATGCCATGCACTTAGATTGTTAGAGTAACTGTACTTTGCAAACACAAAATTTAATATTTAACTTTCAAGGAAAGACTTCCGACATCTCTTGTTGACAATTGAAGAATATTGTTTAAAAGATATAATAAGAACATTCAACTTGACATGAATAAAATAACTGAAACACATTTTCACAGGATTTATAAAAAGGACAGAAAGCATCTGCAATGGAAATGCCTATTTCTTAGAATACACAGTATGAGATGCAGGCTTATATGAAGGCATTTACCACCACCCCAACAATGTAGGTAGCAGGTTGCTAGGGAAAGCTTTAGGCAATGCTGTTGGAATTTTTAAAAACTGAAAGTCTAGGCTTTAGGAGTTGAAACATGTACATTATGGCTCTGCATGCTTTAAAACTAAGAACTTGTTTGGACCCCCGTAATCCTGGCCTTCTCTGTTCATGAAAGCAGCTCGTTGTTGTTGTTGTTGTTATTAATACTTCCATTTCACCTGAAAAAAAAGATGTTGCTGATTTAAAGTTAATGCATCTCGTACAGCGTTGTTGTTTTTTTACAGGCTTACATGGAAGCTTGGAAAAAATTGAGTTCTGAGGTGCTGTATTTGGCAAAGTCCAGAGACTTTTTCAGATTCATTTTCCAAGTGTCCATAGGCAAGCCTGGTGCACATGTAGTGCATTTGCTTTGCCGTTCAGTCTTCAGTCTTCTGTTATATAATGTATGATGGTATGCCAATCGTTTGGGAGAAAGCCCTGGATCACTTGCTGATCCCCATAGTCATCAAGAGGCAGTATGAGAAGGAAGGGTGAGATTATGATGGGACAAAACTTACACTCTGGTGTTCACTCTGTATGAATGAGTATGATTGTTATTTACAAGGACGGCAGTAACTTGAAAAAAAAAGATTGTTTGAATAATTGTGTAAATGAAACAAATGATTTTGTAAATGCAAGCATCACTTGATTCATTGTTAAAGCCTGCTCTTATTGTTTCTCCTGCTGCTTTTCATCTTATTGATTGTTAATTTCTACTTTTTCCCAGTAAAAAATGCCAATGATCCAGTAGAAAAGAAAAAAATTCAAGGCCAAGCTCATGGTATATTTCAGAGTAGGTAGATGAAGTGTAGGCAGCATGAATTTTCAGCAGCGTATACTTTGAAGCAACGAAGCCATTCTATTCAAGTCCAAAACATTTTTTAAATTGAAGCTTCCGCAAAATCTTATACATAACAGTATGTATATCTGGATAGGATTGTCAGTGCCAACAACTGCTCAAAAATGCAGCTGGTAGAATGTATTAGAGTATTTCATATTTTCAATTGAGCAAAATAGTCTCTCAGAACTTCTTGACGTTGCATGCATGTTTAAAGATTGAAGTTGGCACTTAAGCATGACCTTTAAAAAATTAACATGTGACCTCAATTGATGTTTTTAAAAACATAAAGGCACTTACATCCTCTTGTTTCTCAAAATCATTTTACTTTGCTTTCTTTTCTCTGTTCTCCACCATTACCTTTTACTACTTTGTTCTCTGAATGGTTGATATATTATGAATGGTTGATGTATTGTGATCCCATATTAGAAAGGAAAAAATATACAGATTTTTTTATAAAAAAAACAGCTAGATTTCCTTGTCATTAGATTTTATCCCCCTCCCCTTTTTAATAATATCCCAAATTAATTTTTGGAAGCTGATGGAAAGTATTCAGAGGGAGCTCACTGGTGTAAAAAGAAGGGTGGCTTTCGCATGATTGTAAGAAAACTCTACCCCATTGGTTTTTTATGATATTATGAAAGCTCTAAAGAAGTTCAGTGATCCACTTGCTTTATAACTTCTGCTTTCTTAGGAAACCCCAAGTGAGATCCTTGGTGCTCTCAAAAGTTTGGGGAATGTGCAAACTATTTAACTGTTTGTGTACTGCACATTGCAGTACTGCTAGTCCGCATTCTCCGTTTGTCTTCCTGTCATTTGTGTTTTGCTTTCTCAAAAGCACAGTCCCCCCCTCCCATCCTCCTGTAGCAAATGTTAGAATGTTTAAATATTTCTATCCATTATTGTATTTGCCATGTACAAATGTTTTATTACCCTAAGATGAGCTTATAAGCTGTTACTTACTGTAACCCATTTTCTTTCCTGACATTGTGATGTATATTGTGAAATTGTATTCTATGTTAATTTAATCAGCACAATTCACTGACATGCTGGACTGACAATGCTAGCTGCTGTTTCAAAGTGTAAAGTTTTGTGTAGAGCTGTTGGGGGGACCTCAGAGGTTTCCCGTGTCAAGGTACTATGCTTTGGTTCTCTTGGGGGTGGTTCTTTCAAAGCTCTTCTTACACCCCATAAGTCCATTTTTAAACTGGTAGATTTTCTTGTACAAATTCTTTACAAAGTGCAGGTACCTACCTGAGCCCAGGGCTGGTAATGATTTGGGCATGTAAAGGAAAAAAAAAACCTAGTGTCTATTGCTGCTTTGAATATGTTTTAAAAGTCTGAAAATGTAAATAGTTTATCAAAAAAGGAAAAAAATCTTGTACAGTCCAGTGTAAAGTTTTTAAATGAACTGAAAAGGTTGCCATCGCATCTCTCACACACTCTCCTCTTGAAGCAGTTTGAAAAGACAACCAAGCTTGCTAAGGATTTTGATTTTTTTTTTAAAAAAATAAAGATATCTGTACTCTTAATTTAAGAGGGAAAAAAATCATTCTTAGCTTTACTTCATAGCATAAACAGACTTATTGGATTTTGTTGTGCAGTATTGACGTGAGGTAAATTAAATATTAAATAATTTTTCAGTGGTACTTTTAAGAGTTTTCTCTGCTCTGCCTCCGAAATGAATATAAAAGACAAAATGGAAAGACACTTTCTTTATATCATATATTCTGGTGTATGCTGGCACCTTACTTACATCTTTGTGAGGATATTTGTTTCTTCCTCTTCTTTCTCTTCCTCCTCATATTCCTCCTCCTCTTCTTTTCCCCCTCCTTCCCCTCCTTCCTCTTCCCCTTTTTGCACAAGGTGCTTTCCTGATATGTTTAACATGTCATCATTGGGTGATGCCATATACGCCATGATAAAGGGGGTCTGAACCCTCAGGGGAGTGTCTATACGACTGCCTATTTATGCTCATTTACCTCAAGACTGTCCTCTCTGCCCTTAATCTATTCACCATCACTCCATATTTTGTACTGCTGTTGACACTTACAGATTAAAGATAAATTTTGTTTTATGATCTGCGTCTGGCTTTTTCTGTGCAGCCTATTCTTTCCTTTTGGCAGGTAGCATCCCAAGGAGAAAGATCTGTAGTTGGCCCATGCCTTCTGCTCAGGATCATGTCCTCCCTCTCTCCCTCCCTCTTTCTGTCAACTTATTGAGCATGCCTTCCTGTCACATAAGTGGCTTGGATTTTCTGAGCTGAGGTGGCGCAGTGGTTAAATGCAGCACTGCAGGCTACTTCAGCTGACTGCAGTTCTGCAGTTCGGCTGTTCAAATCTCACCGGCTCAGGGTTGACTCAGCCTTCCATCCTTCCGAGGTGGGTAAAATGAGGATTGTTTTGGGGGGCAATATGCTGTCTCTGTAAACCACTTAGAGAGGGCTGAAAGCCCTATGGAGCGGTATATAAGTCTAACTGCTATTGCTATTGCTATTCTGGCTTTGGTTTGGAAACATTTGGTGTTCCTTTCCTTGATAACCCCAAGCCTCTTTATTTATTAGAGGGGTGATGTATTAGCAGGGAATTATTATGAGGCAAGATTTTTTGTAATACCAATGGAAAAGAATAAAAATTGTCTCTTAACTACTAATCTTTATATTAATTTCTGTTCTAAAGTAATTAGACAATCCAGAGCTTGTCAGTAGGGTAATACCGTATCACTTCTGGTCAAAAGATTATTCCCCACCCCCCACCCCTTTTTTAAAAAAATAATTTTTGAAAGAATTGTTCTGACTACATTCATCAGGGAACAGGAAACTATAGTTTTTGAAAAATAGATCATTTGTATGAATTATTTTATGAAGTTCAGTATCAAATGGAGAGATTTCTTACTTCCTAAGATGATGCAACACACTTACTTTAAAAAAGATGAAAGGCAAACAAGTACCTTCCGAGTTATTAATCATTGTAGTTTATAAACGACACCTGTTTGGTTTTCCTTTTCTCCATCAAAGCTGGATCAGATATAGCTTACAATACACATTATTTAATAATTCCCATGTTCCAACTCAAATGTACAAGACTAAAGACTAAAATATAGAAGTATTCCCAAAAGCAAGAACACAAAACAACAGGGAGAAAAGGCAGATAGAACTAGGAAATCTAAAGCACTGAAAATCTTTATAAAAGGATATGGTCTTGTCTAAAATAATGCAATGGAAGGATAAGCCACTTTTCTCCTAAAATGTACCTATTCAGCTCTTTCCAGTATAATTCATGACATTCTAAAAGTTAAAATTCTGTGATATCATGAAGACATTTCCTGGAATGACCAGATCAGCATTTTTTGGGAGACAAACAGAATACTGTACATACAGGAAAGTTCCATCCTTGGTACATTTTTCACCTCCTTTTTTAATGATAGATATACTGTATGTTTAATTTTTGATCATCAAATAAGTTGCATATTACTTCCTGAAAGATAGCAGCAGTAGCACCAATAGAGAATGAAGTGGAACCACACAAACAGCTTTAGCTGCATCTACATGGAGGGAGTATGCAGTGGGGTACCCCAAGGCCCAGTACTCTTCAATAGTTTCATCAATGATTTGGATGAGGGGATGGATGAGAGGAACTCATTAAATTTTCAGATCACACCAAGCTGTCAGAAATAGCTAATATTCCAGAAAATAGGCTTAAGATTCAGAAAGATCTTGGCAGACTTGAACATTGGACGCTATCTAACAAAAATAATTTCAATGGTGAAAAAAGTAAGGTTCTACATTTAGGCAAGAAAAACCAAATGTAGTATAGGTGGCACCTTGCTCAATAGTAGTAACTGTGAGAGAGATCTTGGACTCCTAGTGGACAATCACTTCGATATAAGCTAGCAGTCTGCTACAGCTTCCAAAAAAGCCAACACAGTTCTAGGCTGTATTAACAGAGAGATAGAATCAAGATCACGTGAAGTGTTAATACCACTTTATAATGCCTTGGCAAAGCCACACATGGAATACTGCATCCAGTTTTGGTCACCACAATGTAAAAAAGATGTTGAGATTCTAGAAAGAATGCAGAGAAGAGCAACAAAGATGATTAGTGGACTGAAGGCTAAAACATATAAAGTACAGCTGCTGGGATTGGGTATTTCTAGTTTAATGAAAAGAAAGACTAGTGGTGACATGATAGCAGTGTTCCAAAATCTCAGGGGCTCCCACACAGAAGAGGGAGTCAGGCTATTCTCCAAAGCACCTGAGGGCAGGACAAGAAACAAGGGAAAGAAACTAATCAAGGAGGGAAGCAACCTAGAACTAAGAAGAAATTTCCTGACAGAACAAATAACCAGTGGAGCAACTTGAAGTTGTGAATTCTCCAACACTGGAAGTTTTTAAAAAGAGATTGGACAACCATTTATCTGAAATGGTGTAGGGTTTCCTGCCTGAGCAGGGGATTGGACTAGAAGACCTCCAAGGTCCCTTCCAACTCTGTTATTCTATTCTATTCTATTCTATTCTATTCTATTCTATTCTATGCACCACAGATAGTTCTTACTGAACAGGCTATGTATGAACTTGTACATTGATGTGATGAAAGGGCAATTTCAAGAACAAAAAGATGTAGAGAGATATAGAGAATGCTGCTGGTTCAAATTCTTTTAATTTCTCAGGATTTTCTGTTTCCTTTTTGTGTTTTGTGTAACGTTTTTTTCCATGAAGAGAATAATGTGGTGGGTATGTCTTTTGGAACATAGGAAACACACAGATTGATGGGGTTCTAATTTCTGGAACAAGAGAGAATAACTTTTCTCCTCCATCTGAGTTGACCTTCAGGTACCTGACTCTGGGTCTCATGTCTCTAAATTGTCATTTCTTCAAGCTGAACACACCCAACTATTTTACATCATCTTTAGTTTGTCAAAGTCCGTAAGATCATCTTTAGTTTCTCTTAGTCCAGGGACCTCAAACTTATCAATCTTAAGAGTTGTGGACTTCAACGTCTAGAATTTCCCAGTCACCCATGCTGGAGACCCATATGTTAGCCCACAATACCCATTACTTAATAAAGACTCTGTTCTTTGCCTCATAATTGTACTAGTAGAAAGATTCACAGCAGCTTTATATGAATTATTTCCACTTATATAATTATCACAGTCAAAAGCAATGTACCAAATTACATTTTTATTAAAAAGTTAAAGCTACAATTTCCAACAGGATTCCCTCTCCGAATTCATGGTTGACTGACTTTAAGGAGTTTTAGCTACTATAGCTGAGTATTATCTGTCAGGAAAAGCAATGATATGCTTGAGATCTACCAAGTTTCATGTTTGCAAAATGAATAGATTCATTAGATTTTAATTACTTAAAAATATTATGAGCATTCTAGATTGAAGTCATGACAATCTGTAACAACTTCCTTTTGAACTTTTACTTGTAATTAGAATTCTCCAGATGACTGGCAAAATAAAAAATAATAATTGCCCTTGATAAATCATTACTAGCAGTTGTATTAAGAACTACTTGAATGCATTTCAATTCACTTAGACAGAATAGGCTTTCAAAACCTCTAAAGGTGTTATTACACAATAAATGGTTGTGGCTTATTTGGCAGTAATGTCTCAGATTTGTCGTAGGAGAAGTATAGGCAATAGTTAGAGTGTCAGGGTTCCAAGTAATACACCCATAACAGACATAACTCTGTGGCAAGCAGTTTCCTCAAAGAACAAGTTTATTGGATATATCATATTGGCACAGGCTGGTGAAAACTGACTCTAAAAGCTCCCACAGTTTTCACATAATTAAAAGTAAAAGTTCCCCAACAGTCACATGGTCCAATCAAAGTGCTGTCCAGTTTCTTGGAAACTTCACAACTCCTCTCTTCAGCCACCTGTGAGAATGTCCTTGGTTCTCGGGGGAAACTATTTTTTTTTTGCCTACAAAACCCAGCTATCTCTATTCTATCCCTCAGCACCATTGTGGCAACACTGAAGCCTCCTATATGGCCTTGATCAGGCAAGCTTCAGAGTTGACATAGAGATTAACAAATGTGTAAATCTGAAACAACTGTTCAGTTAGAAGATGAATCTGCTTTGTCAGCATTGTATCATATTTTTAATTAACTATGATCAATTATAGTCTTTGATGGAAGATATTACCTATTTTCCTGAACAGTATACCAAATTTAGGAGGATGAAAAAGAGCACTGAGACAATTGAGTAAGTCAGAAAACTCAGTACTTATCTATGGTTAAATACATTGTAGATGGAATAGTCATTTGTATAAACATATTTGTTTTCATTTCGGTCCTATTCAAGAATTTTTGAATGCTTTATATGCATCTCATCACAGGTTCTGATGTGATTGATTTTTTTTGCAATCAAACCCGTGTTAGGCTCTAGTTGTGTTAATACAAATTTTGATTTGCACATTGGATGTGCTCATTCTCTTCCTACTCCTATTTCCATGGACCACATATAGAGAATTGCAAGGGGATAAGTATTTACTTCAGCAGCAGTTTCCATTTACTATGTATAAATGACTTGAGACTTCTGTCAAATACCAAAAACTTAGAATATAAATTATCGGGACACAATGGATCGCATCCCAAAGCTCTGAAGGATTGTCAGATGTTTGGGGGTGTTACTTGGAACCCTGACAATGTTATCTCAGAACCAATGTATCATATATTTGAAAAATATATTCTTTTTCCCCCCAAAGCTGAGTATTTTTATTGTTCCATGTATATAGACTGAATTTTGCCAAACTGAAGCACTCTACTAGTACAGTATATACTCTGAGAACTATTAGGGAGGGACTGTCTTCACTCCTTTCTCTCACACATAATATCTGGCATGAACGGACTCTTGTTCCTCTGGAATGCACCCCCCACCCTCCTGGGAATCCAGTTACTAAATTCCATAACACTAATGATTTTGCTACCCAGGCAAAGATCATCTGATACACAGTTAAAGGAAGATATCTTAGTGCACTCTGGTTGCTTTTCATCTTAACTATTTATTTCTATTTCATCACAAATGTTTCCCAATAAAAAATACCAATGCTCCATAAAAACAATTAAAG